CGCCCCGTGCGGCCCCCGGTGCCCCCGCCCCCAGCCGAGGTGCCGTGTCCCCGCAGCCGCCTGGCGCACGCCGCTGGACCGCAAGAAGACGGTGCTGCTGCCCTTCCTGCGGCCCGGGCAGCGCCCCCGCAAGGTGCCCACCATGACCAGCGCCAAGTACCCGGTGGCCTCCTTCACCGACTCCCGCCTGCAGGCCCAGGTAGCCCTTGGCCCGGGACCGGCCACCAGGTGCCGGGGGTCTGGGGGGTCACTGCTGGGGTGGCATGATGTCACTCCAGTGGCACTAAGGAGGAATGGCAGGCTGTGATATAACTCCTGCGGCACTCGGGGAGGACGCCAGGCTGATGTCACTCCCCTGGCACTGAAAGGGGCACAGACTGTGTCCTCGCTCCCCTGGGACTTTGGGGGATGACAGGCTGGCACAGAGTGGGTGCCGGTCCATGGGGTCCCCACGGTGGCTCTTAGGTGGGGGTCTGCCCCACAGGTGGGGCGGCTGGAGCTGAACGGGGGGCTGAGCCTCGTGGTGCTGATGCCGCGGGGGCCCCTGGAGCCTCTGGAGACCCTGGAGCGGGCGCTGGACCCCGCCACCTTCCTGGCGCTGCTACGGCGGGCGGCCCGCACCCCGCCCCGGGCCACCGCGCTGTCCCTGCCCCGCCTGCGCCTCGACCTCGCCCTGGACGTGGTGCCTCTGGTCCACGACATGGGTAAGGACACCTCTGATGGCACCGCAGGGGCTGCCTGGGCGGCGGGGTCACATCGCTCCCGGTGCGGTGACCTTACTCCCTGCAGGACCTCAGGGCCCCTCCCCGGGGGTCACTTTCCCCAGGGTCCCCAAAACCCCAATGTCCCCGGTATCCCCTTACCTTTGGTTTCCCCTGAGGCCCCCCACACTCCCGTGTCCCCGGTGTCCCCGGTGCCCCGGATGTGCCCTGCTCCCTCCAGCGCCACTAATGTCCCCTTACATCCCAGTGTCCCCAGATTATCCCCAGCGGCCCGAATATCCCGCATCTCCCCGGCGTTCCCTATCCCTGAGTGTCCCTGGCGCCCCCCAGCGTCCCCGTCGTGTCCCCGTGTCTCCTCTATCCCCGCTGCCACCCGTGTCCCTGCCTCTCCACGTCCTCGTCCCTCCGGTTTTCTCCGGATCCCTGATGCCCCCGCGTCCCCTTGGCGTCCCTGCTGTCCCCTCGGCGTTCCGCGGGAGTGGCGCTGAGGCCGTGTGCCGCAGACTTCGGGCTGTTCCTGGACGCGGAGCTGTGCGGGCTGGCGCGGGGCCCGGCCGCGGTGGACTCGGCGCGGCACCGGGCGGTGCTGGCGCTGGACGAGGCCGGCGTGGAGGCGGCGGCGGCCATGGCCACCTCGGTGGCGCGCTCGGCCCTGGTGCTGGAGGCCCTGCGCCCCTTCCTCTTCGTCCTCTGGCACGACACCGGCAACTTCCCCGTCTTCATGGGCCGACTCAGCGACCCCCAGCCCTGAGTCTGCGGCTCCTGTCCCTGTCCTCCCTCCTCCCACCCCTCCATCCTTCCCTCCCGCCTCCTCCTCTCCCTCCATCCCTGCCTCCTCCTCTCCCTGCTTCCCTCCTTACCTCTCTCCTTTACCCCTTTCCTCTCTCTCTCCTCCCATCCTTCCTTCCCTTGTCCCTCCTCCCTCCCTGCCTCCCTTTCTTCATCCCTTCATCCCTCCGTCCTTCTCCTCTCTGCATCCCTTGTCCCTCTCCTCTCCTCTCCTCTCCTCTCCTCTCCCTTCACACTCCCCAGGGCACCAGGAGGTCCCTGCTCCTCCCGTGCCTCAGTTTCCCCGCCAGCTCGGGGTGACAATAAAGGCACCAACCACCTCCCGCCTCCCGCGTGTGAGGAGGGGAAGGGACAGCCTGGGGCCACCAGGGACCCCCCTCTGTGCCAGGCCGTGTGCCAGGGTGAGCCGGGATGGCAGCAGCACGGGGGGCAGGCAGGTAACAGCCAGCACCTTCCTAAAAAAAAAAGCCTTTATTGCCCTAGAAAAGCCCCGTGACCCCCACGGCTGGTGCCACCCGGGGGGCGCCGGGGGGCACAGCGAAGATGCCAAGGAGAGGGTCACCCAGCGCCCCCCCAGGTGCCCCCCAGTCCCTGCTGTGCCCCCCCCTCAGTCCCAGCCGTTCTCCTTCACCATGTGCGACATCTCGATGATGAACTTGCCCTCCTTGTACTTCTGGCTGCTCTCGAACGCCTGTTCCTGGGGGGGACACAGTGTCAGCCCCCCCATGCCCCCACGGGTGCTGCCTTCCCCTGCCCTGGGGTGTCTGCAGCAAAGGGTTGGGGTGCCCAGGCAGGGGTTAGGGTGCCCGAGGGTGCCCATGGAAAGGGTTGGGGTGCCCAGACAGGGGTTAGGGTGACCAGACAGGGGTTGGGGTGCCCGAGGGTGCCCATGGAAAGGGTTGGGGTGCCCAGGCAGGGGCTGGGGTGCCCAGACAGGGGTTGGGCCCCCGGGCAGTGCCCGCAGCAGGCAGGGGTCCCAGCTGGGGGGCACTCACGTATTTCCAGCCCAGGGTGGTCTTGCAGCTCTGGCAGAAGATGTCGGCCACCGAGTGCAGCCCCGTGAGCAGCAGGCGCTGCTCGGCCGGGCCGCAGCCCACGTTCACCCTGCACCGAGAGCGGGGTCCCAGAGGCTCGGCACGCCCGGCCCCGGGACCCCCGGGCTGCCCCTCCCCACTGCCAGCCCCGGTGCCCCGGTACTCACACGGAGTTGAACAGGTAGGCACGGCCGTGGCTGCCCTGGAAGGACTGTGGGGACACGGCGAGTGTCACTGTTGGTCCCCCACGTCCCCCGGCACCCCTCCCTCCGTGTCCTGCTCCCATCCCGTTGCACTGCCACCGGCCTGGGGACACCGCGGGGGGACACCTGCCAGCTCGGGGATGCTGAGGGAGGGACGGCCACCTCCGTGGGAGCACCCGCGGGGCGGGCGGGGGCGAAGATGCTTCAAACTCAGCGCTCTGGGGCCACGGCCAAGGGACACCCGCTGTCCTAGGACCCCCCCGGGGCCCGGGCAGTGCCCGCCCAGCGCGGGGGTGGCGGTGGCACCTTGGAGATGAGCTCCTCGTGGCGGGCCAGGTGCGCCCGGCAGTGCACGCAGCTGTAGGTGCGGTGCGAGCGCGGCAGGTAGCTGCGGAAGGTGCGCGGCGGCAGGCGGGCCCCGGGGGGCAGGCGGGCCCCGGGGGGCAGGCGGCGGCGCCAATCATCATCCTTATTGGGGCACGGCGCAGCCCCCGCACAGCCGCTCGCAGGGGAAGCAGCGCAGCAGCGCGCCCAGAGCCGCCGTCCCGCCCGGCCGGGCTCGGGGGGCTCCGCCGGGGCCCCCCGGCAGAAGGAGGCGGAAAAGGGGGGCGGCCTGCCGAGGGGGAACGGGGGAGGTCAGGGGGGACCCCTCCTCAGCCTCCCAGGCGTGAGCGCTCCGCGGGCTGAGAGCGGGCGGTTCATCGCAGGAGTGACACCGGGGACACCGGGAGAGCCGGGGGGGCACGGGGGGCCGAGGGACCGGGAGGGGGGGGCGTCCCAAGCTGGGTCTGGGGGCTCTTCTCGAAGCACCCCTGGGGAGTGGGGGTACCCGGGGAGGTGATGGGGGTCCCCGGGGGGCAGGAGGGGGGTACCGGCTTCCGTGGCTTCCCGGGGGCCGGGGCCGCTCGCCGCCCGCCGCTGTCCCCGCTGCCGCTGTCGCCGCTGTCCCCGGGGCGGGCGCGGGGGGGCCCTGCGTGCCCGGGAGCCGCATCACGGCACCGTGACTCATCCCGCGGCCGTGACGTCACCGCCCGCCACCGCCGCCGTGACGTCACCGCCCGGCCCTCCGACGTCAGCCCGGCCGCCGGGGATGCGCTGCCGCTGACCTCCCGCTGCCTCATGGCCGCCCCGGCCCCGTGTCCCCCCGGCTCTCTTGTCCCCCCATGTCCCCAGTGTCCCTCCGAGTGCCCCTGTCCCCCCTGTGAGAGGTAAAACGGGAGGGGGGGGGCGGGACTGCGTGTAAAAGTCGTGCGAACGTCATGCCAGCGATCCCGGGACTCATCCCGAGGGATCGGGCGGGGAGAGGGGGAGCCCCACTGTAATGAGATGCAAACTAGAGGAGGGGACGCGGGCGATATGCAAATGAGATGCAAAAGCGCCGCAGCAACCGGACAGGACACGCCCCCACGTGACACCGGCGTCCCACGTGACCCAGGCCACCCGTGCTCCCGGCGCGCCGCTCAGACGTCACTTCCGTCGCGGCCGCGGCGCCCGGGGGACACCGGGCCCGGGACCCCCGCGTCGCCGTCATGGCGGACGATGGCGGCGAGGAGAAGAAGCAGGTGGCCAAGTTCGAGCTGGAGCGGGAGACGGAGCTGCGCTTCGAGGTGGAGGCGGGCCAGACGGTGCAGCTGGAGCTGCTGACCGGCATGGCCGAGGTGTTCGGCACCGAGCTCACCCGCAACAAGAAGTTCACGTTCGACGCGGGCGCCAAGGTGGCCGTGTTCACGTGGCACGGCTGCACCGTGCAGCTCAGCGGCCGCACCGAGGTGGCCTACGTGTCGCGGGACACGCCGATGCTGCTGTACCTGAACACGCACACGGCGCTGGAGCAGATGCGGCGCCAGGCCGAGCGGGAGGACGAGCGCGGGCCCCGCGTCATGGTGGTGGGGCCCACCGACGTGGGCAAGACCACCGTGTGCCGCCTGCTGCTCAACTACGCCGTGCGCCTGGGCCGCCGGCCCACCTTCGTGGAGCTGGACGTGGGGCAGGGCTCGGTGTCCATCCCCGGCACCATGGGCGCGCTGTACATCGAGCGCCCGGCCGACGTGGAGGAGGGCTTCTCCCTGCAGGCCCCCCTCGTCTACCACTTCGGCTCCACCACGCCCGGCACCAACATCAAGCTCTACAACAAGGTGAGCGCGGGGGGCTCGGCCCGCCTTGGGTGTGTTCCCCGGGCTTTCCGAATCCCCGGGGTGCCGGGTGGGGACGGCACAAGGTGTTTTAAGAACAGCCTCGTGCACGGCCAGTCACCCCTTCCCAGCTGTCGGATCAGGGAGGGGAGGGAGTCCAGAGGAGGACACGAAGTTGATGAAGGGAGCTGGAGCACCTCCCCTATGGAGACGGGCTGGGAGAGGTGGGGCGGCTCGGCCTGGAGGAGGACACTTTGTGCCCTGAGCTCAGAGCAGCCTTTTCCATCCTGAGGGCCTAGGGGGAAACAGGAGAGGGATTCTTGTCGGGATCTGGAGTGATGGGGTGGGGTGGAAGGGGTTCGCAGGGAGAGGAGAAGTTCAGGCTGGATACTGGGAAGAAACTCTTTCACTGTGAGGACGGAGGGTTGAGAGAGGCTGTGGCTGCCCCATGCCTGGAAGTGCCCCAGGCCGGGCTGGATGGGCCTTGGAGCAAGCTGGGCTGCTGGAAGGCGTCCCTGCCACAGGGAACGTGCCGGCCTTTAACACCAATCCCAAGGCAGACCATTCTGCAGCTCCACGGTTTTCCCTGGGCGGCCTCCCGCGGCGTGGGGCGCCCCGGCGTGACCCCCTCCTTCCGCAGATCACGTCGTGCCTGGCCGACGTCTTCAACCAGCGCTGCGAGGTGAACCGGCGCGCCTCGGTGAGCGGCTGCGTCATCAACACCTGCGGCTGGGTCAAGAGCTCGGGCTACCAGGCGCTGGTGCACGCCGCCTCCGCCTTCGAGGTGGACGTGGTGGTGGTGCTGGACCAGGAGCGCCTCTACAACGAGCTCAAGCGGGACCTGCCCCACTTCGTGCGCACCGTGCTGCTGCCCAAGTCCGGCGGCGTGGTGGAGCGCTCCAAGGACTTCCGCCGGGAGTGCCGGGACGAGCGCATCCGCGAGTACTTCTACGGCTTCCGCGGCTGCTTCTACCCCCACGCCTTCGACGTCAAGTTCTCCGACGTCAAGATCTACAAGGTGGGCGCGCCCACCATCCCGGACTCGTGCCTGCCGCTGGGAATGTCGCAGGAGGACAACCAGCTGAAGCTGGTGCCGGTGACGCCGGGGCGGGACATGGTGCACCACCTGCTGAGCGTCAGCACCGCCGACGGCCCCGACGACAACATCTCCGAGACCAGCGTGGCCGGCTTCATCGTGGTCACCGGCGTGGACCTGGAGCGCCAGGTCTTCACCGTGCTGTCCCCGGCTCCGCGGCCCCTCCCCAAGAACTTCCTGCTCATCATGGACATTCGCTTCATGGACCTCAAGTAGGGGAGGGCCGGGATGTGCCCCCCCTCCCTCCTTGTCCCCCTGGTGCGGCGCCCGCCCTTTGGTTTTATACTTTTTTTACAATTTGCTATTAAATCTGGAAGTCTTTGCCGCTGGTGAGCGTCTGCTGAGGGTGGGGGAGGGGGGCTCGGGCTGTGCCCCGGTGCCCCCTCACCGCGCCGCGGACCCCCCTGCACGGCGCCCCGGCGGGCACCGACCCCTGCCCGGCCCGCCCCTCTGGCCGCGGCCCCGCTCCGCCGTTCCGCACGGCCGCCTGCCCGATGGTCGCGGTGCCTCTGCACGGGAGCGCCGCTTCCTCCTGCCCCCGCTGCCGTGCCCGCGGCCCCGCCGCCACCGGGACCTCCTCCTGTGCCTCCGGGGGCTGGCGGGGAGCGGTGCCCCGCGGGCTCGGGCCGCCCCTGCGCACGGTGCGGGGTGAGCGCACCGGAGCGGGGCTCGTTCCCCCGCCCGGGGCCGGGGAGCGGCCGCGGGGAGCGCCCGGGGCACTCCTGCGCTGTCCCGCACCCGGGCTGTCCCCGGTGCCCCCGGGAACGCCGCCACCGCGCTGTTGTGGGGCCCCGGAGCTCGGCCTGTGCCGCGGCCCAGGGGGGCCCGTGTTTGCAGCGCGGCACCGTCCCTGCTCCCGGCTGTGGGGGCACTGGGACGGGTCCGGCCCGGCCTCTCCTCGGAATTCCCGGATTCCCGAACGCCTGAGCCGTGCCCGGGGTTCCACCCCGCTCGGCGCGCCGATTCGGGAGGGCATCGGCTGCCCCTGTGCTCCCCGTGGCTCTGGGAAGCGGTTCCCCCGGATCTGCCGGCTCCCGCCCCGGCACGGAGCTGGAGTTGGGCTTCAGGGATTCTCTGCTCTGGGGCTGCTCGGGCTTTCTGGGGCAGAGTGTAAAGTACAACCGGAGCCGCGTCTCGATCGAAGCCAGAGCTATCTTGGAGCCTCTCTCTGAGCTTCATCCAGTTACCACCGTCCTTCCGCTGGGCCCAGGTGCGGCTTTAGCAGGCGGTTATTCCCGCTGGTTCCCGAGGCCAGGAACCCCATCTGGGAATGGAGGGGGTGGTGATTGGGTGGGTCCAAGGGGAGACCTTGAACTCCCCTGTGAGGGGCCTGTCTGGGGACATTCCCACCTGTCGCTGTGCCCGGTGTCTCCTAGCACAGTGACAAGAGGCTGGCGCTGTCCTTGCTCGCTGTGGGGCCCGTTGGGACGCGGCGTCAATGGATGAGGCATTGTTCCTGCTGCTTTGGCCATAAAATGGGGCTAATCCCGTGTAAACCAGCGGGATGGGCTGCGGAAGGAGGATGGGAGCGGTGTAAGCCCTGGGCAGGAGATAAGCGTGGAGTGATTCCAGCCTTCTGGCTGTCTGCAGTGGAATATTTCTCCATGTTCTGTGTTGATCCTTCTGTACATCCACCTGGGAGAAAGGCAGGTGTGCAGGGTGCACCTGGAGCCGAGGGGTGGCCAAGCGTGCATTGCTTGCATCCTCCTTTGGAATTAAGAGCAGGGAGGTGTCCCCAGCTGCCCCGTTGGGGCAGGTGCTCCTGTGACCAGTGGGGATCTCACGCTGGCATTGCTCCGGCCACAGTGCCCAGTTTTGTGAAAATTTTCACTTTCTCTGATGGATTTTGGAGTGTGAAATGTTAGCTGGCTGTGCAAGGACAGGGTTGAGCAGAGGGAGGAGGGAGTTCCTTGTTCCCTGGCTGCCCCTCACTCTCGGTGCTGGGCAGCGAGCTCTGGAATGGCTCTGTGGAACTCCGGGCTGCAGCTGATCAAAACAGAGTGGGAACAGGTGAAGCACATCCCGTCTCCGTGCAGCCGGGATCTGCCCTGTCTGGGAGTTGCCTCACGTGGAAGGAATTGTTTGTGTGTTTGCCCTGCGCCATGGGAACTCGGCTGGATCGGGGCAGGTCCACCGGGAGCTGCGGATCCCGGCGGGTGGCGCAGGTTTGGGAGCCGGTAACCGGGAGGGAGCTCTGTGCTGCCTGTGCCGTGGATCCCAGGGGTGGCAGGATCCCGGTGGTTGATGCCGAGGTGCATTTCCTCCTTTCGGGCAGGAGCAGAGTGAGGAGCTGAAGTGAGAGAGGAGGGAATGTTGGGAGCTGGGGACACGTGTGTCCCCATCCCAGTAGATGTGGGGAGCGCCTCTTGCTCCAGAAGGGACAAGGCATGGAGCACCTGGCTACGTGTGGGAAGGCTGGAGAGGGGCTGGAGCAGATGAGCAGAGTGGAGTGGGAAGGAGGAGCACAGGGATGGCAGGGAGTAAAGGGAGGAAATTAGTGAGGCTTTACAAGGCCTTGAACCAAGAAAAGGAGATGCAGGCTCAGAGAAATGGAAGGTGGCAGCAGTCATGCTTGCAGATATCCCGAGGGAGGGAATTTGGAATTAAAAGAAATCCCCAGAAATGGAGATGAAGGAAACAGGAGCAGCTCCCCTGTATGAGTGGAGGGAAAGCCTGGAGAGTGGAGATGACTGCTCCAGAAGTGGCTGAGCAGAGCGGGAACTGGGAAAGTGCTCCAAAAAGGAGGTGCTGGGATGGGAAAACCAGGTGGAATTTCTGAGGGAGAGGGAAGGGGGAGTGAGCAGTGACACAGGCGCTGGGGGAGGAAGGAGCAGGGCAGGTCTGGAGGAGCAGCAGGAGAGGAGGAGTTGCTGGGCTGGAATTGGCAGAGGGAAAGGAATGGGAGGCAAGAGCAGAAGGGAATGGGAGGCAAGAGCAGAGCCCATGTAGGCCACAGGTAAGCAAGATGAGTTGGGGGTCTTTGGAGCAGGGAAGTCTGTGAGTGGACTTTATGGATAGGGACAGAGTGGCCAGTGAGACAGAGGATTTGGGACAAAGGTGGAGGGAAAGGAAGGGTCGGCTGACTGGAGGTGGGCAGGTTGTAGGGCTGGGAAAGGGGAGGGCTGGAAAAGAATATGTTTGTTTGGGAAAATTGGGGCCTGAATTAGTGTAATCTGTGGGAATTTGGGGTGGATTTTCCTTGTGTTTCTCCTGCACCCCTTAAGGACTGCAGAGCAGAGATCCCACACTTTCACAGCTTTTTCTCCAGGCTCTGCAGCAGGGCTGGGGGTCCTGCGGGGTCTCAGCATGCCAGGGGGATCAGGAAAGCATTCCCAGGAGCAGTGTGGTGGCTCTGGGAACCGGGATGGGCTCAGCAGCCTCCTGTTTGATGAATTGTGGAGTTATTCCGGGCACAGGCAGCTGGAGCAGGGACGCATTTCCATTGCTTCTCGCTGGGGTGTCACTTATGACAGCCCTGGGGCTCTCCCCCTGCTCATGAGCCTGTCCCATGGGTAGCTGATTCCATGGGGAGCTGGCTCTGGCACGCTCTGCAGGGAGCCTGTGGAAGGGCTGGAGCTCCTGGATCTCTGGCTTGGGAGGGCTGGGGCAGAGCGGAGCCGCGAGGCGCATGCCCACGGCGCCCTGCGAGGGCAGGGTGGGGATCTCCAGAGGAGGAATTATCAGGGAACAGCTCCTTCTGCCTGGCAGCGTCTGTTTGAACCCGAGGTGTGGCCGTGCCTCCATGGCGGAGCGTTCAAAGGGCCGGCTGCTCTGGGAGCACATTGCTCCTGCTAAAGCAATCAGCCCTGATGTCAGGCCTGGACTTCCGATAGCCCATCCCTGGAATTGCTGTTGGGCTCGGCTCTGTGGGGTGTTGGGCTCTTCCCCGAACAGGCAGAGCAGGGCTGGGAAACTGCTGCTCTCCAGGGAACTCTGTCCTTGCTACGGAAAACAACTTTCCCTGGTGTTACTGTTCGGTTGGCCCCGCTCAGGAGCTGCTGCCAGGTGGATCCTGCACATTCCCTGCCGGGCAGAGCATTGGCCCCACATTCCCTCTCAGTCCCAAGGGCAGGGAAGCCTTGGGCTGGGAAGTTGAGGTTTGGTCCTGCAGAGGCCGAGTGGCAGGAGCTGTTCCTGGGTGAGTCAGGCGGAGTGGCCGTGAGCTGGGGCTGAACCCACTTGGTGGTAACACATCCTTGTCATTAAAGCTGCCTTTAATTGGGTGCCACAGCTCTCCCAACCTTCACTCGTGGTTAGTCAGCGCTAGAGAGTTCCCTGCCCACCCCCAAGGAGAAATTGGGGAGGCAGAGAAAGCTGGAAGGGAGAAAGGAGTGAGCTGTAGGCTGCGCTTGGACCTGCAGTGCCATGGAGGCAGCAAGGGGAGGGTGGTGACAGACGGTGACAAGGTGAGGAGTGGTGGCTGTAGCAGCAGGAAGTGGTGGGATATGATGGATGATGGGCTTGTGGCTGCTTGGGGCAGGGCAGGGCCGTGGGCAGCGACACCTTCCACTACCCCAGTTTGCTCCAAGCCCCATCCAGCCTGGCCTTGGACACTTCCAGGAATGTGGCATCCACAGCTCCTCTGGGCATCTTGTGCCAGGGCCTCACAGGGAAGAATTTCTTCCCAATATCCCATCCAGCCCTGAGCTCTGTCATTTCAAATCCACTCTTCCTTGTGCTGGCACTGCAGTTCCTGATGAATCCAGAGCTGCAAAGGCCACTTACAATCATGGGATTGATGTTTTCCGTGTGCCTCCCCTGTCTCCTGCCCTCCAGGGAAGGGGGTGAGATTCCTGGATGTTTTTTCCTCCTGTGGTCTTCACCCTTGTGTTAAGTCCTGGAGTCTCTGCTCAGCCCCTGCCCCTCAGGGAGCCAGCACTCGCTGGTTCTGGGATTTGAGCCGGAGCTGCAGGAAGGAATTCATGGTGTCCCTCCAGTCCTTCCAGGGCTCAGGGTGGTAGAGGGGGTGGCCTGGAGTTCCTGCAGCAGCCAGTGCCCCTGGGCTGGGACGGGAGACGCCGTGGCCAGCCTGCTGTGGCTAATGACAGCCGGCTCCATCCCTTTTCTTGCCATGCTAATTTCTGTTGCTGTTTTTTCCAGGTGAGCTGTGGCACACCAGACCTCGAGTTTTAATGGTTTTATGTAGTTTTTTTTAAAAGACGGACGGATGGATGAATGAAGAAGGATTTTAACCAAGGAAAGGGAAGGGGAAAATGGAGCTGTTTGGAACAAACTGAGGTTTCTCCCCACACCGCCCAGGCCATGGGTGAGACAGAGCTGCTCAGCACCACTTCCACCCTTTGGTGTCTGTGGGG